AGAAGCTACTAGAAACAGGGGCATGGCTACTAGTAGCTTCTTGGTACTCGTACTAGTAGTAATGCCCTTGTTACTAGTAGCGATGCACTTGTTACTAATGGACTCCTTCTGAAAGGGGGGCGGTCAACTTAACCTCGGAGTTGGACTACCCATGCTCCAGTGGTTCCAAATGGGTGCCCATTGTCCACTCACTTGGAGACTAAACACGACCCGTTTGTGACTGCTGGTTTGTACAACTTTTTTTTTTTTTTTCGGGCGAAGTGTGCCTATTTGAGCCATGCTCCTTTTGCCCAAGCATGTGTCAGGAGCCAGCTGGTCGACAACCATATGGCTTTTCAAAAGCCTGCGCCTGGGCAGTCGGAAACAGTCCGTACAATTTGGAGGGGAATCTGTATGGGCCAAACCTTTGGACAAAGAACGGTGGCTACTGAGGCTTGATTGCCTACACGATGATCCTAGCCCGCGAGCATCCCACTTTGAAGATCAACGCCATGACACCTGGCAACTTGGCATCTTGAGAGGCACCTTCCGAACAGGGACGTGGTTTGCACAGGAAAAGGCGCTTGACATGGCGTGACTTCAAAAAAGGATTGAAGTCGAAATGTCGGTGTTAAGAGGAATACCATGTTGAGCCTCGTCCAGCAGCCAGTTGCTGAAGGGGCTGATGGCCGAGCAATGGTTAGAAGTGGACCAACAGGGGGACATTTGGGCGTGAATCGCCAGGTCAGAAACACCAGACTTCCCTGGATTAGCCTTTGCAGGTACGTTGGTTTCAGAGGTTCAATGGCCAAAATGTCCAATGGACCAGTGACCAGTGGTTCAGAAGTGGACCCCCATCTTTTCAGGACACCTTCGGGGACCAGTGCCATCTACTCTAAATCCACTGTAACAACTCTTGGCACATTTGGAGCTAAACCTTTTTTCAACTGAACCTTTCTCATTCCGAATGACTCGAATGACGGCAGCTGTTTCACAATCGACATGCCCGGCACACCAAAACCAGCATCGGATATGTTTGGTACGCCCAGCATATCTTTGACGACTTTTTAATGTTGATCACCTTGCAAACTTGGTTGCTGGGCATGCACATCCAGGATCAACAATTATTCATCCCCGCCTGCCCTCCATGGGTGCTTCATGGTGCTTGACCAGAAGTGACGTACTCCTCGCGGCTCCTCGAAGTGAGTCCATGTGGATAGCTCGAGCATGCTCGAACAATCATGTCTTCATTCATGGACTCCATTCCCACCTCGGTCTACGATACATCTGAAGCTCTCCAGATCGGGCGGGGTCTACTATACGATGCATCTGAAGATCCCTCCAGATCGGGTGGCTGCGCAAACACGGCCTTTTCAGGGTACATCCTCACCGACATCACTCGGGGCATGGGGGCAAGCAAGCCTCCGGAGGAGGGCACCAAAGCGGCCATATATTGTGGCTCGGAGCGGGAACTCTCAAAGCCGCATATTGTGGTTGACGAAGAACGGAAGAAGAAGAACAGGGACTACTAATGACTACTACTACCCAATCAAGCTCGGCCGAGTTTCCTACACACCCCTGGCCCTATGCAAGACTGGTATAAAACGGCAAAGGTGTGAAAATGAGACACACACAGATCGATAGATATTTATATATAAATAATATATTTTGTTGATCATATTTGCACTTGAAGGGTGGATATGAAGTTCTGTGCCCACATGTAGGAAAGGCCACTCGTGTCTTTCTTGACGTCGCGAAAGCCAGGATCAGCAGGTTATAGTCGTAGCTCAAGTCGCGGCAGGCGATGGCATCGATTCCCCTACAGGTTGAAGACCCTGGAGTTGATCACACAAAAAACACTACTGATAATTAGTTAAAGGATCCAGTTTTCTGGGTCTTTGGATTTGTACGGTCTAAGTTTTCAGTGTCACATCTTTTGCGGAAGGGCAGCTTTGGACGGTTTTGGGAAGTCTATCAATGAAACGTTGCAAAATTGGTTCATGGGCTAGGGGGGAATAATGAGCCAGTGGAAATGGTAGTCCTGCTGAGACAGGACTCGCAAAGTTTTCTTATGTTTTCTTTGCGTCAGGCAAGGTTGGTGGACAAGCAGGTCCTGACACGTTTTATTCATGGAATCGTGATGGTAACAAACTGCGTCAGTTGGATCTTACAAACGTTTGGCATGCAACCATATGGATTTCAGGATTTGCCGCAAAATGAGGCTAACTCCCGATGTAGGTGGGTGTAAATCTTGTCAGAATCCCATGGTCTTGACATATTTTGGGCATCCCATACGCAAACCTCTCACAACTCCACTACCCAGCTATGGGGGCTGTGCGTGACTGCGCAAGTTGGCTGTTGGTGGTCCAGACATGTCCAGACTTTGCTACTCGTAGCTTGGATCCATTTTGTGGAAAACCAAAAGGTTCACGATGGCACGGGTGATACGGCATATGTCCCATGTTTTTGGAGGAAGGCTGAGACAAGCACAACGTGCACTAAGGCCAAAGCCTCGGCCGTGTCGGAGGAGCGTGTGAAAGACTTCTGGTATTTCATGCGGCATGCACCAGGTAGTGGGGGCTCGTAGCCCAATGGGAGCTTTAAGTAGGAGCGTGCGATGGGCCCTCTGTCCATCGGCTACTCCACCAGGGCTCTGTTTGGGATCACCAAGCAGTAGTCGAAAGAAGGGTTGTCGGGGGACTGTTGGCGCAAAGGCAGATTTGAGGTCCATGTCCTGCTGCGCCGCGCCTCTTCGCTAATGAGTAGGTCCACATTCTCCATATGGGTGTTGAGTGTGGAGTGGATTTGTCCTTTTTGGTCCCAAACAAGCCCAGTCGTGACAATTACCACGTGGCAGCCGGGGATGTATGATGCCGCTTCGCTTGCTCGCAAGTCGTAGTCCGTGCACGCTGTGTTAGTCTCTGCCTTTTTCCCACTTACTGGTCGAATGAAATATCTTTGGTGGTCCGGCTCTAAGTCAAAGGCTGTGAGCAGCTTAGTAATTGCCCGACCCGCTGGATTCTCTTTGTGCACCACTGCAATCTTGAGGTGAGTGGTGAGGGCCAGCCAGGCAAGGAGAAAGGTCAGGGATCCAGTCTTGCCCGCTCCAAAGACACCTGCGACTGCCAAGGTAGATCTGCCAGCTCTAAGGGCCAGCGCCAGACTGGCAGCCATTGAAACAATGTGCCCATTATCATGCCGGGCGGCAGTTCCCAGGGCAACAGCAAAGCTGGCTGCTTGGGGGCAGTAGTGCATTGTATTGCCAGAGGTCAGCAGCTGGAAGAGAGCATGCAAGCTCTGCAAGAGGACCACCGTGCATTCTAGTTGATACGGAATGGGCACCTGGCCCGGGATACCCAGCACTGTGGGTTTGTGCTCTGCAACCAAGCAGGCCATTTGCAAAAGGTGGTCAGCAGTGACCGTATCTCCTGCTTCCGCAATGGCCAACACTCGGAGCTTGGTTGCTCTAGGTTCAAGCACGCAGAGGCTAGGTGGGAACGCCCATGGTGCTGGGCACGCTAGTCCGGTTTCGGCTGGCGTGGGCAGCGGCACGAAATCTTCCGTGAACGGTACTAAGGCAACATCCCAGTGCCGAGGACTGCTCAGCCGACGAAGTTTCTCACTTGGCGATTTGTCCCCTTTTCGTTTTCGAGAGGGAGACACAAAGGCCAGCAAGAGCGCCAAGACTGAGTAGCACGCGCCGTGGTCCTCCAGAACGATTCGATAGGCCTTCCCAGCCTGCGAGCCCATGTGCACTGTACTTAAGGGACTGCTGGCGAGTTGTTCAAAATTACAACTTTGGAAGTGCGCCGGGCAAAAGATAGCCGTTTGCGACCCCGAAGGAAAAGCTATGCGATATTCATGCATGCCCTGCAACCCAGTGGCTGTGGGTGTGACATCCACGACTGGGCCAAACTTTCGCACAGTGGGGCTACTCCACAGTTCTTGTCTTGTGATGGCCTCATCGACAAAGGTGAGCTGCGGAAGAAAGAGGGCCAGAATGACAAAGACTTCTCAGAACGGGATCGGCGCCAGTAGATCTCGAGCCATCTCCGTCAACCATTGAGCGCATGCACTTGGATTACCTTTGCCAACCCGGAAGTTTTTGAGCAACAGTGCTCGTGCTTCTTCCATGGAGGCAATTTGCTGTCCGGCCACACAGCTTTGTGGCAGCACAAGCAATTCCTGGTCAGGGCGGTGGAGATTGCACCTGTATTTACAGTACATGTGTATATATATATATACGCATATGGATAGAGTCACGCTGGAGACACCACATTCGCTACAAATCAACACACTCAGTCGTAACAAAACGCTTCGAAGAAACAAGGACTCCTTTATGACTTTGAGTCGCATACATGACATACCCTGCCGAGTGTCTTTTTTTGCACCGTCACCCGGACTTCTGTCGCTTTTGCAGATTCGACTCTGCACGGTCTCCGCTTCAACTTTCCAAGGCCTCACCGGTGAGTTGAAGGGCAATGGCTGGTACTACGGATCGGACGCCTTGAGAAGCCCCATCGACCGCTACCGTGCGCCGGGAGATCCACCCTATGAGGGGCCGTAAATGGCGGCGTAGAATGGGGAGAGAGAGAGAGAGAGAGCCAAGCTGGCCAAAGCTGCTTGACCCAGCAAGGTGACATAAAAAGAGGCTGCTGCGGATAGGCTAGATTATAGATAAGATATATTGTAACTATATATTTAAATACACATAATTTCCGATAGATGTCCGTTTTTGTATGTTTAGTTCATATCTTGAAGGACAGGGAGGAGATTGATCCAGCTTGACAGGTGAACTCCAGATAGAAATGGAAGTCCCTGGCTTAGCATAACTTCTTTCAGCAACCACGATTCTTTTTCTGGGCATGTGCGCGACCTTGCATAGGTCTGTGTATCGACGCAACGACCCTCGAATTGTGCCTTGACCGATCCAAGTGGTAGACAAATCGACAAATCCATCCAAATCCGATTGTCTCGGAGTTGGTCCTGTGGCGGGGAGCTTTTCTAGCCGCACCACACAGGCGGATGAAGATTTGTTGATGGTCCTGGATGACCTTTTGGTGCCGGATGGCGCGACCCTGTGTACAGCAGCTCGGCATAGCTCGGCATTCGATGTTCGCGAGGCAACTGAGAAGAGGGCTAGATGTCCTGTTGTGTTTTAGAACCACGAGGTTTCTTTCGTATCAGTGGAGCAGGCATGGTGCAGCGGGTCAGAGTTGATACACTCCGATGAGCAGTGGAGAAGCCCTCCCCCGTGGCAGCTGGGAGAAGCCCCTGGTGGATTTCCTATAGTGCCATGTCCTCCTCTCGAACGGCATCCGTTTCGCAGAAATCTTTAGCGCGCGGACTCCACCGGTGAAGTAGCATGTAGCCCCATGTGGTTCCGATGGGAAAACGGTCCTTGGACATGGGCAGATCAAGAATCTAGGGACGGTGGAGATTTATTATGATATGGGTGCAATACTTTGATCCAATGGACACTGGACACTGCATAGTGGGTTGAGTAGTGGGTTGTGTACAAGCAGTGTCCAATGCATGTAGATGCTTGAACTGGATTTGCCCGTTTTTTGACGATTCAGTGTCGGGTGCTCAGATGTGCTTGCTAGCTGTAAAGCATTGCTTTTACTCCAACAAATCATTGGGTGACCTAGCCCTGGTTGCCTGCCAACAGAAAACGAACCCCTAATCTTCCAAATTTAGACATGAACTTACATTAATTGCATCCAGTGACCCAAACTAATTGCATCCAGTGACCCAAACTGTGTGCAGACATCATGGCGTTTGAGATTGGCGTTTTTTTTCCAATATATGGCTTTCATGGGTCACACATGGGCTCCAATGCCCGTGTTGGCTTTCTGGAAGTCACGGTGAACGCGAAGCTGCTGGGTACCATAATGTAGCAAATATATCTCCTAGAAGACAGGCTGGAAGAGGAAAAAGGACACCCCCGTCTCACACACACATGAATCCAACACCGTCCGAAACCCGACTGGTTGCTCTTCAGGTGGATTGCCCTCCTGATGGCACGGGCATTTTCCAAGGACGCGCCCCTGCTGAGGCGGCTTCAGACCTTGGAAGTCCGTGGGGCGGGGGGATCTCGAAGTTCGGATGGCCACGTGACAGCTGTATGGAGCCCTCGCGTGTCGCATTGACTCTTGCCACGCCATCATATGCCATCAAGATCACGTGGGTGATTCATGATCCTCATGCTCATCCACAGCTGCTTTGCAGGCCATGTTCGGGCCCGTGTTGAGTCGGACGTCGTGCATGGAAGCTGCATGAACCAGCTGCATGCTGTTTCGATCGATCGATGTGCTTGGGCACGGCATGTGCGCGTGTGGTGTGCTCGCGTGCCCGCGGGCAGGTGGAGCTGGTGGGTCCGACCCACAAGGAGATGGGGCTTTTGATGAGGGCGGGCAGGAGGAAAAAGAAGCATAGAAGTAGACAGGAAAGGAATCTCCAGCCATGTTGGAGAACAGTCACTGGTGAGGAATCTTCATGGTAACTGATTATATAATATAGATGGATTTGATTTGACACAAGTCAGGTCAGTTCCTTTCGGGTCTTTTGAACCCCTTCAAAATCGCTCAAGACTCTTGACCCAAATCCCTCAAGACTCGTTGCGATTTGCACTTGGACAAAAAGCAGTGAGCACCATATCCTGAGAAGGTGGGCGCAGACCCCCCTGGCACCCACCCCAACCACCTGCGAAACGGATGTAGGCCAGGATCCCTAGGGTTTTGCACGGAGGGGGCAATGTCAAGAGGGAGTTCTAGATTTTTGTAGGCCACAACTCACAGATTTGTAAGATGTTGACGTTTTTCATCGTTTTTCCCAACTTAGGAGTAAGGCAACGAACTCCCAGTTTTCATGGACCCTGATTCTTTCTTCAGCTTGAATACGTTGGTATTCGACACGCATTCACTGCTTACGCCGGGATGCCGAACCCGCTGAACCCGACCAGGACGGCTCTTGCTCCGTGGTCTACGGCGTGCGGCGCGTGGATCTCTTCGAAGACTTGGGCCGCTGGACACCGGGACACCGGGGGACGTGGGCTGCTCCAGGCCTCAGACCTGGTCCCAGGCGGCCAGGTCTGCCTGGCACCCGACTCACGACCATTTGGGAAGACTGCTTTCCCATACATCAGGTAGTTTCCGGAGTGTAGGTCCACTGTCACACCGCGGGAAATTGGCACAGCCCCAGTGGCACTACTGGTCGGTCTGGTCGACAGCTCGACAGCTGATCGAGCCTACAGGGCGAGCCTACCCGGACGACATCGGATGAAGACCCGGACGACATCGGATGACCATCATTGTTCCACCAGGGAATGACCTGATGGAATGCATGTTTCATGTGTGTCAAGACCTTGTTCTTTGTTCGGCCGCACCAAGAACTGATCTGGCATGCCGTTTTTCAGCCAAAGAACGCCAAGAACAAACAACAATCAACAATCCCCATGTTCTAAGATATTTAGATTATATGTTCTAATCCTCTTTTTGTCAATGGAATTGGTTATTCTCCTCGCCTATTTGACCTACGTCCATTGGTTCCACCGCAGTCTCCACCGCTCGCGACCGATAAACCGCCGAGGCTTGGACAGGAGCGCGGTGATCGGCAGCGCGGGCGTGGGCTCCGTACAGATCACCGCCATGCTGACGAAGCACCTGGCGAAGGTGGGTGTTTCTCCTCCGGAAACGCACGGGAGGCAGCACTGGTGTGGTTTCAGCCTGAAAATCTGTGGATTTAAAAGCATGTTACAGTACGTGCATATTACGTACATACGTGCAGTTCGTGTAGGCTCTTGATTTATATACAATCAGACTTCCCCATGAAGAGGTTCTAGCATCCACGTGTTTCCGTTAAAGTCTAAAGGAATTCAGACGAACCTCCGCTGTAGACAGCGAGGCCGAAGCCCGCTTCGTCGGCCATCCACTCTTTGGGCTTTGCATGGTCTAGGTGTTGGTTCTGTCCCAGTAAACCTGTAACAGTCAGTGAGTAACAATTATTATCACTTATCACTATTTTAGAGAAAGGCCTATACTAACCATCATCCACTGCTACTGGTAAGAGGGACTCAGAGCCCATCTAGTTGGTTAAAAAAAAGGCCCCTTGCCTCTAGACACCCCGAACTCGGGAGACGGGTTGGTGTATATATATATATATACAGGGTTGGTGTACAATCCCAGGGGATCCCAAACATAAGCTTATTTTGTGTTTCACATTTGGGTCACAGGCTGGAGAAGTCTAAAATGTAATACCAGCCTGGGGAGATCGTGGTCCCCCCCCCCCCAACCAGCCTGGATGATGAATCATAGACAGCACATGTCAAAAAGGTGCATGATCACTTGATCAAGCATATCATCCAAAACGATTCATACTGATCACTCCCAGCAGCCTGCTTATGGAGGCACAGTTCTTTAGACGTGAGTGACATGAGTATGGATGATCCACGATCCACATCGATGCTTCTGGAATATGTGACTTCTGGCTCTACCCAGCCACCAGACTAACCGCCACAGACCGGGTACAAAAAAACCTTTGCAGAGAGGTCAACCTGGGTTGGACATCATCCTTGTTGTGCAAATGAAAGTACTGAATCCATGAACTTGTGAAAAGACTCTCCAGCATCATTTGCCACTCTCAAGTAGGCACGAAAGGGACAGTACAAAACCAGACAAGTTCTAGACTACACTGGAACCCTTTGTCGCAAGCTTGTGTATGTGCAATATTGGGGATGTGCGCAAACACATTGAAGTGGAGACTTTGATGGCAAGGCTTCCGTTGATGTGAAGAGTGTGTAATGATGTGTAATGCTATCCTTTTCTTCCTTTCTTCTCCGCTCCTTCTGGAGACACATACACCTGGAGAAGTACCAGAGGGTTAGTTTAAAGAAGTACCACAAACAAGTTAAGAATGCTCACACCAATATAGAACAGGATATATGCATACTGCAATATATTAAATTCTGTATGTAATATATATATATGTATGTTTCAAAGGCATATACAAATATAAGCAGTTTCGATGATTCGCCCAAATAGTAAGAGTCCTACCATCCACCACTTCGGGTCCCTCCTCGCCCTTGTTTAACCCCGCATTGTCCGCCGTTGGGTCGGGCGCAATGGGTGAGGTGCTCACGGAGATGTACGCCTGCATGCTCTTCCGGGAGATGGTCCGCCGAGGCCGGGCCGTTCGGCCGCGAGCGGCCGCATTTACGTCCCGTGGTGAGCCACATCAGAATCGCAGGTCAAGATACTAGTGTGATTGAGGCTTTTCTTTGGCCCTCAACATCGATCTGTAATCACCAGCAGATTCATCTTCATTCCCCCACATCGATTCCGTTCGTCTTATGGGGCGAGACGGAGAAGAAGGTCTCCGGCGTCCGTCCAGGACCAGCGATTTGCTGCTTGGCCGCGCTGTCTTGGCGGATCGCTGTGTTGGAGGATCCGTTGTTCGGGTGCGGAGAAGGTCGCACGTTGGCCGGGTCGCGGAAAAGGCGGGTCGTGGAGTGACACGGACGGGCAGGGGTGTAGGGGAGCAAAGGCGAGATGTGGGTAGATGATTTTTCGTGATCCTGAAGACTCAGTAGACTGTGGAGTTCCTTTACCATGAATGTGTGGCACATATGCGCAATTAGTAATTATGTAATTGCTCGATTCTGCACGTCGTGTTGTCTCACGGCCTTGGGGTCACATCCAGTAAGATGAGATCATTGAGCTTCTTGTGCTGTGAAACAGCCCCCGAAGTTGATAGAGCGCGAGCGAACGGAGAATCAGAGGTTTTTTATTATAGAACAGTTATCAGGAGTGAAGTGAATTTGTCGTCAAAGGTCAAAGTTCCAAGTGTCAGGAGTGAAGTGCATTTTTCGTCAAAGGTCAAAGGTCAAAGTGTCAGTGCAGTTGTTATCAAAACAAAACCTATGCACGCAGAGTCAGAGTCAAATTGTTCGGTTGTCATCATCACATCCAGTGGCCGGTCAACCCTCAAATGAAAATGGCCCAGAACCAGGTTAGAAAGCTAAGAGTGTTTCAGCGCTGAAATTGATTTAAACAACATTTGATGTCAAAACATATTGCCTGGTCAGGAAACTTTTTAAAAGAACAATTTAATTTGACATTTATATATAAATATACTATCGGTCAGTCTAGCCTGGCTATCTTCTCATTTAATGCAGCCTCCACTGTTACTGTTTTAATGTAAATAGCTGAAATGCAGAGTTCAGTCTACAATATGGCAATGTATCACAGACACAGCTGAGGAGCAACTTGCAAACAAACCTTCTTTTTCAACATGTGTTTTTTCTCAACAAGTGCTGTTTCTGACATTTGGGATTTGGTCATTTCAGAAAGCACATCTATGTACCCCCACATCTATGTATCGAGACGGTTTTCATGACACACAGTGTTTCGTTCTCCAGTGCCTGCCGACTCACGAAAGAACTGTGTATACAAAAGGGATTATCAAGAAAGTTAGTGTTTTCATGTTCCTTGGTGTTTTGGGATGTGAAGTGGTCTGGGTCTATTTGTGGATGCTGTGTTTGCTGTTTTGTGATACAGCATCTTGGTTTCTTTGCTGGGCGAAGTGCAGATATCATGGTGCCAGTCATGGTGCCATTCAAAGGCTCAAACGTCTAATTGACCTAATGTAATTGGTATGCAGGCTGATCTGCGAAGACTTGTTTCTGCATGTTGAAAAGATTCGGAATGTTTTGAGCCGGAGTTTGGATAGACCAGGGGGAAAATTGGATGTTCAACGTGCGCCACGCCGAAAGGGAACGCCTCTCTCGAGGCCGGCCATGGCCGACCTTGAGACCCTTTAACAGCGACGACTGTGGCTGGATGTGATTTTCTCTCTTGCCGGGCAGTGTAGGAGTCCGAGAACTACATGGTACATGGATCCACAGCCACAAGTGTATTAGTCAAATCACTGGATCAGATGAATACCTTTGAAATATGTGCAGCATGGGCAGGAGCGACGAATCACTCGCATCATCTCGCATCACTGCCCTGTACAAGAACAAGTTAATTTTCTGCTGCTAAGGGGTCCATATCCAGAGCCTTGACATGTCACACATCCAGAATCCATTTACACTGAACACTTTGAGCACTTCCCTCCTTGTTCTTCACCTTTCAGGCAAAAAGCCCTTCTTCACAGAACCGGACATCAGGACATCTCACGCTCCTCATCCCCCAAACCCTGGGATCGAGCGATTCTCAGCCTGCACGCGCTGGCAGGATGATGTCATCGAGTTGGTGCTCACCGGGCAGTTGCTCGCCACCAATGCGGAGCCAGGCAGGTCAGAGCATGGAACTCACTCAGATGTCGGAACCGGGACGATGGAGGGACAGGGACTGGGAGATGTATGCGGACTTTTGATTGATAACACTATATCACCCCACCCATCCCCACCCATTTTTGTAAAGCCTCTTTACATGGGGAGTTGAAATAGATCAATTGTCAAGAGTCGTTTTAACAAACGACATCGACGACCAGGGGTCAATGAGCCACCCTAATGGGTCGGTAAATTGGGCAATCCAAGTGTTTGGAATTGCTCCGCGACGCAACGCGGAGACACTGTGGATTCATTGAAGGGGAAAGCAAAGACAAAGAACTTAAGGTCTGAGGCGTTTCCTTGTCCCTTGGTGTACATTTTGAACTTGTTTATGAAGAGTGTGAAGTTACTCAGCTGGATGACTGAACCATGCAAGTTGCCTCCTTTTAATGGCGAAAAAAGCTCAGGCTTTGGGGCGCCGGCCTGGGGTCTCGAAGGCAGAAGTTCACCCCTTGGACCTCGGTCCTCCAAAGAGTCACAGGCCACCGAGAATCATATACCTGGACCCTCCTGTCGGGGTGTCCTGGCTGGACTACCCCACACTACCTATAGGCTTCCATTAGACACCCCTTGGAGGGTTCTGGTATAAGCGTATATGTGAAAGTAGGGAGGCCGACCCACAAAAAAATAATCAGACCCTGAAAGAACGAACAGGTCTAGCGAAGCTGACCCGGACCGACAGGTCTTCTTATTCTTGAAATACACGTTCAGATTTTTTTTACGCCTTTGCCAAGAGCTGTACGCTTGTGGCTAGCCATGCCAATAAATGACTAGTTAGAATTGCAGTGGTCGGTAGCGCGGTGTTCCCAATCTGGGCCCATCCGCGCGTCGTGGTCATACTTTGCCACTAGATTGGATATGGCTGTACAAAGCCAATCGGGCAAGGGCTCAAGGACCTCAGAGTGGTGCTGTGCATCGAACAGAACCTTTGCCATCGTCTGACAGAGCGCTCTGGGGTATTGTTTGAGCACACTAGTTTTCCACGACCCAGCATCATTGCGTCCAAATGCGTCCAATCTGACCTCCCTTTGGCATGGGTGTCGTACGGCCTTGGGCAAAGACCTCAGCAACTCGAGGGCCCCCGTTAGCGATCAGGAGATCCGTGGGCTTAGGCGAACCTTGCCATACCCGTATCTTGACACAGGCTTCAAAGCGTAAGAGGAAGTCAACGATTGGTAGTCTCCAAATGGAAGCAAAGGTGGGTTCGTCATCAGGGCACGCGGGGTGCTCCAAAATGGCGGTGGCCCCCATATCAGTGCATGTAGGAAGAGGCAAAGAGCAACTCCGAGCAACTGATTTCCAACAGAGACTTGTGCCATCTCCCGTCTGGTCAAGTGCGGTACTCCAGCAGGAAAGCATCTGGTACGCAGAGGTCTTGGACCACCATTGTCGACTGACCGCGCGCGAGACCACAAAACCAGCCAACACGCGTTCTCTGATGGCATGTGCAAAAAGTCGAAAGGATTCGAAAAGTAGATTCTTTCAAAAGGTTCCCCCAGTCGATATCAAATATGATATGGAAACTGCGACCCCCAGACTCTCGATCGCCTCCTGAACATCTCCTGCACGTCGTGTGCCGGAAAATAGATGGGCGTAGACTTTGGGATAATATTGGACCGGCTTCGGCACTGGGCATCTGATCGTCTCAAACTGCCATGCCTCTTTCTCAAAAAAGTGTTGTGCCGACTCTGCAGTTAATGTAGTACATGTCTGTTGCTTGAGGAACCATGACGTGGAGGCATGAACAAAGAAAGAGGAAACTTCAGCCGCTTGTAAAACAGTCAGCCTTCCTTCCGTCTCAGGGAGCTCCACTCATGAAAGGCGGTCAAGATCTCGTCATGAAACATGACAGTGTCAAGGGTAGCAATCCTGAGTCGTTCCAACAACGGAAGATCATCATCATGATACACGTTCAGATGTCGAAACAAAAAGCCACCGGAGGAGCTGGAGAAGTGAAGAAGTCACTTCGAATTGACGGTGTTTTTGCTTGGTCATTTCACGACTATGCCATACTTGCCCGATCACTTGCGGTGGTTTGGGGGGTCAATGTAGGCTCATCTATATTCCATATGTGGAGTGTTGGATTTGTTTCTATACTCCTACCGTGGAGAATGACAATATTGCGTGAAGAGCATGTTTCTGGATGCTCCGCTTATTGAAAAATAGAGAAGACTTCGAGGATTGATCATCGGTAACTATGGAGGGGGACTGCATGTACTAGTAGCTTAGTTAGAATTTCATGGCAGTCTGATCAGCCATGCTATGGAAAAAATAGTCGGGCGACCCATTGATATACAGTCATAAACACTTGCCGTATAGTAAATGTGTATCACCGTGGCTTGAAAACATCTATCCGAACACAAGTCTGTCAAGAACTTTGTCCAGCAGCCAAGGACATCCGGGGTTTGCCACACAAAAAAAAGGTTGGTGAAGAGTGTGCTATAGCAACTGCTAGTCTCTCGTTGTGCTTCTTTAGCTCATCACCAATTTTCTTGGCCCCAGATTGAGCGGGGGGGAGGAACTTTAGATTTTAATACTTACCACAGAATCTCTAGGTGATGGTTTCTATGTGATTGGATCCTCTGTCTCATATTTTTCAAGTGGGCTGAACACACCAACCAGAATCTGAATTGGGGTTTTGACCTCTACGGCTTCCCCGAAATCGGCGGTTCACGAGTGACCTCCGCAGGCAAGAGCACTTCACAGGCCGGACCCGTGACCTCCCCGCGCCGTACCCTTCTCCCCTCTCCCCTCGGCGTAGAGGAGAGGTGACCGACCCAGCTCCCGACTCACCAAAGAGTGATGTGAAGCTCCCTTCGGGTCCGTCCGATCGTTCCGGACTTGTAGCGATGCCGCTCCCTTCGGACGCAGCGTCCGACTCAAGTCAAGTCTTCACAAGTCAACAAGATTTCAAGTCATATGCATCGACCAAGGCACGGAAGTTGCTGTGAAAAGGATGCCCCATGTTGAGTTTATGGGGCATCCGAGCGCTGGCCCACTTCCAAGGTAGGGACGGACGTTGGCACACCCAAGTAAGATCAAGTAAGCATATCTTCGAAGCAGAGGTATTATTGTTTAACCAAGTGGTCGACGTGTTACTTTCCTTCACACTTTGCTGGACTTCCTCAGATTTGCAGCCGTGCGTTTACACGTGGGTTTGCCACGTGCCGTGCGCCGCGCAGATCTCACAGCCGTCAAGCCTTCCTTTGCGGCCCTCCGTCGAGCTCCAGGACCGCACAGACGGCCCGGCATTCCTCCATGACTCATGGCCGACCCAGGAGGTGGGCGACCCAAAATAGGAACACCATTGGCGCCAAGCCTTACAGTGACCATGGAGGGATAGAAAGCCAGCCCTTTACTTATTGGATCTTTTTGGTTGATTGATCACTAGGGCGTAGGGGGACACCAGCAAGTGTAAAAGCATGTAAAAGCAATGGGTATACGGTATACGGTATACTAAATTGACCATCTACTTTTCCCAAAAAGGACATTGATGTGTGCCACATCTCACAGATGATTTTCAAAGGACACTTTTGATACCACATCAACAAAAGATCCATGAGTTCCGGTCTCCAAATTCCCTGAAACACTGAAACACGTCCCAACATATGTTTGCCTTGCGTTTGTGTGTTGCCAACCAACCAATTTCAACCTAATTATTTTGGGCTTATGGCTGACTTGATTCACTTGAAAATTTGATCAATCCAAACCAACCATGTTGTTTTGGTTCATTTAGGGAACACCCGGGGGTCGCCTGCCGCCGTTCTGCAGCGCCGCTGGAGGCCTCGCAGCCTGCAGCTGTCCACGCCATTTCTGAGGACAGCGGGATCGTGTGTTCTACAGCACCAACCCCCATGGAGAGAGCACAGCATTGGAAAGCCACTCTTTAAACTTGTTTGTTTACATCTTTTTATATATGTGAACGGATATCGAAGGCTGAGGCCATATTGCAAAGAACATGTTTCTACATCAGCTGAATGATTCTTGCTCAATCCGAGAGAATCTTTCTTCAACCTGACAGCCTTTGCCCATTTGAGGGCCCCCGGGGTACAACGACCAATGAGCTGCTGCCGCTTGAATGCAAGATACGATCATGGGTCGTTTTTCGCCGGCTCGTCCAGTCCTAAGATTCCGAAGGTCAGAAGAGGTCAGAGGACTTTGTTCTCAGGGCTTATCCGGAAAACCACGTTTTTTGGTCCTCACTTTGACCAGCTTGTTCGCAATTGTGGCTCAACACATGTTCCAGCTTATTGCTAGTGTCGGGTGTTGATCAATCAAGAGGCGTTGACGAAATCTAAGACACAGTGATGTTGACGGTTTATTAATACCCAGCCCGACCAGGATGGTCAAACATCTACCTTTTGGCAGGGTCAATCGTTCATCGATCAACAGTCTCCCGGACGAAGAAGCCACTCCTGAGGTGGCACACCTTGCACCTCAAGCAGTTCAGGTGGGGGATGGGGAGAACCGTACAGGCCGTTCGCACTCCAGAAGACTTGATAATCGGATGGGAAGATGGAGATGATGAGTTCAAAAGTAATAAATAGAAAGATCATTTGCATCAATAAACATGGTGCAATGGCTGTGGCCTTGTACCAGTGTAGCCCAAAATCTGAGTGCTTTGGAAGAGCACATGGCCCCCTGTTGGCCCGCGGAGCACCTGGCGCTTGCGTTTCGCACGGCCTGGCATGTTCCTGTCAAAGATGGAGCAAACCTGAATGTCTAGAGTCTAGAGAGCTCAGGTGGACAAATGAAACGCTTATGTCAAGACCCCCCAGCCAAGATACAGTACACCACTTGCCACTTGGGACTCTGGAATTTGTTTTGGAATCGCACTCAGAGGACTTCATTCAGAACTGTTGGAGGAGGGATTGGCATGATTGGCTCACTACAGCAGTGTTTTGTGACTGGTCCAACTCGCTTGTGTGCGACTATGTGAGCACAACGTTTGGAGTTAGGCTTGGGTGTGGCAGTTGAAGTGTAGAGGTCCAGATTGCATGCCGAGGGCTACGCAGAAACGGAAACTCACTAAACATCCCAAAAGTCTCTTGAAATCTTTGGTGTTTGTGCGCCCAAGCCCCTAAAGTTGAAGTAGGTAGGTGTGGGTCAAACCCTGGAGCTCCGAAACCCCTATAGTTGAGTCGACCTGCCCGGTAGTCCATTCTCTTCATTTTGGGTCAACCAAGGTCCCCAGGTTCTGACCCATAGCCAGGTGATCTAAACGGTGTCCTATCTGAAGCCGTCCACCTGGGTCTCATTCCGGCCAGGTCGCATGAACCTTTGCAATCCATTGAGAGTGAGCCGCCCCGAGATGAAGGATGTCACAGGCGCCCGCCGTGCATGGCCATTGTTTTAAAGACGTTCACAGGTGAAATTCGAAGAGAATTGCTAGGCGCAAGGGAATCGTTGTGGTGCCGTGCACATTTTCGGACATGGTGGTCACTTTTTGTGGCAGGCGCAATGGAATCCTCGTGTTTTGGTGAAGTCGACATCTTCTTGGCAAGTGCGGGAGGGCGGAGCGGCTGTACAATGATGTGCAGATTTCGTGGCGGGTGCTGCGCTTTGGACTAGGCCTTTATTTTAAGAAAGTGTGTGTTTTATTTGTGCTGTTTAGACGTCTAATTGCGTGGCAGGCGCAGTGAACCTGGAACTTTTGGCTTGTTGTCTGAAGTTGGGAAAATTGGTATCTCGAGTTTGTTTTTGGAAGTGCTTGTGTTGCATAACAAACGGCAGGGCTGCGCGATGCGAATAATCATGTGCAGCTTTCGTGCACTTGTGGACCGCCAAGTGCAGACTTTGTGCACAATATTTTTCCCATCTCGAAGTGGACACTTTGTGACAGGTGCAGCACACTGTGAACCTCGAACTGCAGATTTGCATATTTTTGGCGGTGAGGCACTTTGTGAACCTTGTCAAGCGCAGACTTCGCGGCAGGTGCGGCACTTTGGACCCGAAGTGCAGATTTTGTGATGGGCTTACATATGTGGTGCTATCATTGTGAATTCCTACCTGTGTGCGCTCAAGTTGTGCTCTCTGGATGATAACTATATATATATATCTATATATATATATATGTGTGTGTGTGTGTGTGTGTCCGCTCATGTGTTCGCTTTACTATTTCCGTTGAGCTATTTGAAATGGATACGGGTGTTTTGTCCGGCAGTGTGCGCACTTGTGACTTCTAAAAAAACACAAAATAACAGTTATCAGCATGTTTTTGTGTGAGAAAGCCCTTTGCCCAATATATTTGTCTCAATCATGGTTCCAAAGTTCCAAACACAGAAGATGGGATACCAGGGGCCCGGGGCATCCCTCATTGAGATCACCTGCAGCCGCAGCCATATATATATATATATGAAAACCATCTACATGGAAAAACTATTTGAACATACTATACACTATAGTATGCAACTATGGACGCTTTGCTATGTGTTTTGCTATACTATATACCTATGGGACAGGACCTATAGCTGGCAGTTCAAACAGTGGCCAGGACGTCATAACCAAATGTGTTGTGTTGCGAGTCGCGAGTTGCAAAAAGACAACAGCCACAAGAAAAAAACATGTTACCAAATATTAATACCAAATCCAATTTACTATTGGTCAAGCCAATTGAGTAACTGACTAATATTATATACCAATTGGCACCGGTACATTGCTTTAGAACTTTGAATTCCCTGGATTCGCGATGGCATCATGGCAACTGATGCTGCAAAGTGGTGCCTTCGAAGGAATGCAAAAGAGGACCAGTATGTGGAACTGCTGAGAGTGCAGGGTCGAGCTATACTGTACCGTGGAGATTTATCGCCGCCGGTGACGTCATGTGTGGGAACTAGGGGCAGAAGAAACTGGGGAAGGCTTCCTCCTACAGACGCTAGCATGTTCAGGATGTTGGTAGTGCCCTGGCCAACTAAGACCATTTTGGGTACTAGTTTCAAATTTTCCTTTGTCAGGGAGTCAGGAGTTTCTGTTATTTTATATTATTGAATTTGCATTGCCTAATGAATGCAATGCTCAAGCACTCAAGGCCAATGAACAAATTGCTTTTGGTGGAGAATCGTTGAGCGCTGTGGAGGAACAACAAGATCGCATCGTGTGGGATGATGCACCTGGTAATAGAATTCAATTGATTCACACATGCTTTAAGCTTTCTTCTTCCCAATGCCCAATCACCTTTGTTTTGCTCTCAAAGGCGTGGTTAGGGGTGATGTTTAGAGTGCATGTTGTGGTGCAGGTACTTGTTGTGGTTGCCATTGATTTGCTTGCCAGCCAAGCTACCGCCTCACAAGTTTGCGAAGATGCACATGGACGTCAAGGACTTGTACAGCAAAGACAACCACCAAACCAAGTTGGAGAAGGGCATGCCGCATGTTCAACATCCAAGATAGACCAGCTGCTGGATTCACTACTGGAGGCAGCGGAGGAAAACAACACAGACCGATTGAAGTCGGGAATTCAGGAGCTGAGATCAACGTTGCGAGTCACGAATGGCTGCAAAAGGCGTGTGGGTGGCCGTGACAGCACAAACAATGATAGTGATGCTGCTGTAAAGATTATTGGTGGAATTCAATATTCCTCTGAGTACTTGCTGGATGCGGTTCTACTTGCAGACAGTTTGAAAGCGCTCCACCCAGAGACTCATTTGCTATTGGATGTGGTGCGGCAGTTTCCTGGCTATTTAGTGAGATGGTGGGAGAGGGGCTGAATCCGGGATGAATACATAATTACTATTACATAACCCAACCCAACAACCTTAGGTTCTGTCTATCCAGCCAAGTTCAGAGTTAATTCATTCAAGGTCAATGGCCATATCACTTCACCCTGAACTTGCGCACCATCTTTCCATCCAGAAGCTCAGACTGCCGCAAAAGTCTGCCATCTATGACTTCAGGCTAGCGGTGGACTTTTGCAGCATGCTTTATGCGCGTGACCATGTGTTCAATGCCGATGCTGAGTACACCTTACACTTGCGATTGGATAGCAGCCCACAATTCAACAGAAACTACATGGTAGGGGAGGTGGACCGTGTTTGCTTGAGTGCTGTGAGTCCTGAAGACATTGACTCTGTGTCATTTGGTGTTGCTTTAATATGGTGCTGGTGTTAATTTGTGTTTGTCTGTTGTCTGTCTATTGATGTTTTTTTTCCTTGGACAAATCTGTATCACTCTTACCAAAACAAAATATTGTGTTTGATGCAACAGCATCCTGCAGAGGTTTCAATCAATTCAAGTCCACACCCGGCTACTTCCATTGCAAATCCTTGGGAAGCAAGCCAGCAGCACTGCCTTTAAAGCCAAGTCATGCTTGCGTATGCTACAGCTTGAATCAGATGCTGACATTGCAAGAGCCCGGGTACGTTCCTTGCTATCTGACTTCGGCACTGAATCAAACCTCTGGCTGATTCCCAATTTGTCAGGACCTCCTCAATCTTGTCAAGAACAGGGCCCGGAACGCTGCTTTGAGTCTTGTATGCCGCTATCAGACATTGACCACTTGCTTCATCACGTTATGAAGCAGTCAGAAGAAGCATTTGCACAAAACAATGACCTATGGCCAGCATTCAACTACCAGATTCAGGCATTGGCCAAGTTTTTTTCCAAGAAAGACCACGCTGACCAATATGTGCAGAGGCATATTTATGAGAACAACAACATTCCGCAGTTTGCCAAGAAGACTATTGCAAGACTCTTTGATGTTATGTGCCCCACCTTTTGCGTCACCCGCTGGCACTTTGGCTTTGAGGTGCTTCACTGGATCAGCAAACGAGAGGCTATGATTGAATATCTACAGCCACTACGCGCAGAGGATTTATCCAATGAGGAGAGAACTGCCATCAAGGCTTTGGGTAGTTGTGAGGCTGACCGAGTCAAATTCTGGGCAGTATTTTGGTGCTACTATGCTGCTTGATCCTGACTTCAGGTCCTTTTTGAAGCTTGTTCACTGGCTTGCTCCAGGTCAAAAGAAATACACACATCAGTAAATGTGTTTATACTGATATGTATTATGTATACTATGTACATGTCTACATATATATTATCATTTATCAACATTAGCTAGCTATAAATATTAAATATGATGCGCCGATGCGCTGCTGCTTCAATCTCAAAGCTTTTGAACAGCCAAGGTTCTCCAATGCTGGGGATTCGGCATCCACACATTCACACACCGTTGTCCTTGCCCAGAACATCAAGACCCAAACATGAAGCTTGACAAGCCATGCAAAATGAATGGTCGGAGAATGATCGAGTTCGCTTCAGGGGCATGCTCAAAGTTCTTGATGGAGCTACGGGACCTTTCCATCAGAAGTAGTTTCAAAGCTACAAAAGCCTTGCACAGGCTGCAAAAACTAGATCCACGGGCTGCACAGCAAGTGCTGAACAGTTTTGAAGCCTCCAAGGCAGCAATGATGCTTCGTTTCCAGCAAGGTACCTCGTTCTATGAAAAATTTCCCTGGTGTCTTCCAAAGCTTTTGTGCTACATTGTTTGCCTTCCTGACGCCAGAAGTGATGCCTTGCGACAAAGCCGTGGACTAGCGAATCACCTGGTGAATATGCACCAAGCAGGTACATTGGAAAGAGGTACATTTGCAGACAAGATCTTCCTTCAACCGCATCTGGTGGAAGCACTTCAGCAATGGGCCTCAGGCCAGGATGCAACCATGAATGCTGACCTGTTCAAAAAGGTTTTGGAGTATGGAGTTTGTCTGGTCCCCATGCAACGCCTTGAGGCACGTCACCACTTGGTACACCAGAAGGCTCAACCAGCTAGATCTGGAAGTGTTGCTTATATCAGTGCCAATTTGCGTCGGCTGTTGAACCAAGATGTCAAACAGCCTGCCTTCAGAAAAGGGCTGGAGAACTTTCTTTCAAGGTTCAATGAACTGGTGAGTGAACCATGGACAACCCGCGCGGAGCTTGCACGCCTTACAAGCGGGCACAATTTGTCCATAATGTTTGCCAACATGGACATGGAAGAGGCGATGATTGCAGCAGCTGCCCCACAGCCACGATCAAGGATTGCCAATGCCTTGCTTTATCAGGAACATCTCAAGTTGTGCCTGATGCCGGGAGGATACTACGCTCTTCCAACAAGTGTGACACAGAGTGCTACAACCTATTGCATTTGCAGAGTGATTGATCCAAGACCTAGTGGCAAGAAGTATATGGAACGCGCTGTCCAGTGGTCTGATGATTTGTGGAATGACCATGTTGGAATTTTGTTGTTGGGCACTCATGTGGTGACACAAGACACTGTTGACCTTGAAGCTGATGCTGGCTCTCAGACGGCTCCACTTCCGCTTCCACCTAGCTTCTCACATGATGCATTG